AGGGGTGTCCCTGATAGTTTAAGTCATGCATCAAGTCGTCATCATGTATGTTTCTCATCACGTCAATATTCAATGGGATTGTATATCATTTTGTTATGCATAATAATACCCCACCAAGTGCTGTTGAACAATTAGTAAATGTGTGGTTTCCGTACGTTAAGTACATGTATTAATATGTATGTAACCATATGGGTTATCACTTTATGTTCTTTTGTTAGATTCACTCCTCAGCTTTTGCGAGCGTGTAGTTATTTTTACTACACGCAGTAGACATGACGGTACAGGTGCTAACCCTGGAGGACAGTGATGATGGGAAGATGGGCGGTGTACGGACAAGTTTAATATTTATATACATTTAATTTAACATTTGGGCATGAACCCACCATTGTTGTTTTACTTATTTTGGACTGGACTTATTATTTACTTTCGCTTTACTCCGTATTTATGACTCACACGCTTTGGGAATAACTCCCTAGCATTTATTTCACCAATTAAACCCAACTGTTTTTCATAATAAATACACATTAATGATCTTTTCTCTACGGACGGTTCTCGGACCGCCCATGTAACCCTACCGATCTGTTGGGTCGCGGGTGAACTGGGTCCACGGAAGGCGGGTGTTACATTTTCTACCCTGACATTGCAATTGGAGTCGTGGTTGGGATTCTGGGTGATGCCTAGGAAAGGTTATTTATATTCCAGCACGGCCCATGACGTGCTATTGTAAACTTTTTTAAGTCTTCCATATGAAACTTTTATTTTTTAAAGTTGGTGATGCAGGGTTTCAAATTCATGTCCTCTTTGTCATCAAAGCTCTGATATCCTGTCAAAAAATCAACTCAACTAAAAGATATTCTAACATAAATAATCATTTTTAACTAAAAATAGATTTTTTTGGCACTAGGCCCGAATAATTTTTTTCTAAGGGGGTTTTTTTAATTTATTAAAATATATTTCAAATCATGTGAGACCTAATAACGATTACCAGAAAATCGAAGGTAGCCTAAGATAGTTTTGTGAGGTAGAGATGTGAAATGGATAAGGTAGAGTAATAAAGATCCCCTTGGTTCCCATGACATTGGTCATGACATTGGGAACCAATGTCATGGGATGACCCAGGTGTGCTCCGGTGTCCCGTTCGTAAAATTGATGGTTCCTACCCCCCACCCCATCCCGACCCGAACACACCCCCCACCCCTTTCAATTGCACCCCCAAGTTAATTTTGACTTAGAGTCAAAATTTGACTGCAAAGTCAAAATTAACTTGGGGAGTGCAATTAAAGGGGGCGGGGGGTGTGCGGGTCAGGGTGGGGTAAGGGGGCTTACCGGGAGATTAGGGGGAATAGGAACCGTCAATTTTACGAACGGGGCATCGGAGCACCCCGGGTCATCCCATGACATTGGTTCCAAATGTCATGAGATCCGGTCTCAATAAAGATAAGAAACATAAGACTCTATATGTACTCGATTTAAAAAGGGCATAAATGTCAATGTATGAAAAAAACAGAAAGACGGAGCGCCACTAGTAAATGGTGGGAGATGCTAGGGGTACACCAAAAGTGTACCTCAAATGTACACCACATACTTCTCCACCATCGATTTTATTTGATTTTTATTTATTTATTTTGAATTTCTTGCCAATTTATGTGGACAAGGAGAGGATGAGTGACATTTGGGGAGTGTACCCCTAGCATTTTGTTGGAGTGTCATCCCACATCGAAAAAGTGTGAGAAAATTAATCGGTATATAAGCTCTTGAGTTGAACTAACTAATCGATTGGATTTAATCTTTTAATGTGGTTCAACCCACGTGTCTTATTACCCAATCCAGTTGTCCATACCCATCCTAAATTCTATCATGGTATTGGAACAGGTTTTGACCCACCTCATTTGTCAAAGTGTCCGTCTAGACGTTCATTCCTAGCGGTCCGTTAGTCTTTAGCATAGTTGTTCGTATGGAGTATATATCCAACGGCCTGTGGCCGATTTAACACGATTGCTCGTCTGGAAGTCCATACCCAGCGGCTCGTGGTCCTTTAGGTGTTGGCGCTCAAAAAGAGTAAAGGGAATGGGAGTACATTTACAAATGGTCAACCGGTTAGATTCAAAATGGTCCGGTTGTCCACTTGAGGGGGAGTGTTAGAGTGTCATCCCACATCGGAAAAGTATGTGAAAATTAATCGGTTATAAGCTCTTGAGTTGAACTAACTTATCGGGATTCAATCTTTTAATATTGTTCAACCCAAGTGTCTTATTACCCAATCCAGTTGTCCATACTCATCCTAAATTCTATCACATTTTCCGTAGATGGTGGAGTGCGAATATCAACAACCTACTTTAATACTCTGTATAACATCATTGCCGGGTAGTAGAAGTACCAAGTATGGACAGCAAAGTAGACTATGATGTGGCTCCCCTCTCAGAGCAGTGGGTATACCCTTAACGCCTGTCGGCGTGAGGGACGTTTTAACGCCTCGGGACCGTTAAACACCGCCCCCCGGCGGCGTTACCCCGGCGTCATCCCAGTAGCGTCATTCGTTTGACGCGGCTTCAGTGAGCCGTTACCCCCCCCCCCTCCAAATTAAAAAAAATCAAAATTTTAAAAAAACCTATAAATTCCCCTAAAAAATCATTCTCTCACACATCTCTCTCTATCTTCTCTCTAAAATATTTATTATTTACTATAATATAAAATATATTTTAAAAATGGGATTATCTTCATCCGACGATGAAAAAAGAGCTCTCATTTTTCTTGGTTTCGCCACGAGTTGTATTCAATGGTGGGAAGAAGGCGAAGAAGAAGAAGCCTAATCCTCGTGACGATGGAGCCGACGACAATGTTTAAACCGGGATCGAGCGGCCGCCCACGCTTCACTTCTAAACAACTACTTTAATACTCTGTGTGTTTATACACCGGAGGATTTTAGTAATCGTTTTCGGATGAGTCATCATCTCTTTTTACGCATACTTGCCGATGTTGAACGCGAGGTTCCTTGGTTCACCCAACGCTTTGATGCAAGAAGCCGACGCGGGTTTAGTAGTGTCCAGAAGTGCACTGCCGCGCTCCGTCAGTTGGCGTACGGGACGACATCTGATATGTTCGATGAATATTTGAAGATGTCGGCTCAGAGCATCAAGTCTTGTGTTTATAAATTTTCTAAAGCTATTATTCAAATTTATCATAAAAAATATTTACGCAAGCTTAGAGCGAGCGACATTCAGCAGTTTCACGCAAGGCATGCCGCTAAACACGGCTTTGTCGGCATGCTTGGAAGTATTGATTGCACGCATTGGGAATGGAAAAATTGTCCCACTGCGTGGCACGGTCAATTCTCCCGGGGAGATCATCCCAAGCCTACTATCATGCTTGAAGTTGTTGCTTCAAATGACTTGGATCAATCAGATGTTTTTGACGATTGGATTAATGAGACAGCACCCGACTCTTCTTTTGAACTTAGAGGGAAGCTTTACAAGCATGGATATTATTTGGCCGATGGTATATATCCAGATTATTCCACGATTGTGAAATCCCTCTCCGAACCAATGGGTCTTAAACGCCACACCTACAAAAAAGCTCAAGAGGCGGAGAGAAAAGATATTGAACGAGCATTTGGGGGCTTGAAGGATAAATGACACATTCTAGATCGTCCGTCGAAATAATATTTTTTTCACACGAAATTGAGGAATATCATGTACGCATGTATTATTCTTCATAATATGATCATAGAGGACAACAGGACTGCGATTTGTCAATACAACCCGGACGAGGAGGTGCCTATGTACGAAGAAATCACCGAAGAAAAGAAACGAAGAAATCGCCAAGAAATTTGAGGCCGAGAGATTCACAATGCACTAACGGCGGATTTGATCGAACATATCTTTTGTCGCTCGAATAATTAGTGATTTCTTTGTAGTGTTGTTTTTTTATGTAATATTTTTTTAATGAATGTAATTTTTTTTTATGAATGTATTTTTTATGAATGTAATTTTTTTTAATGAATGCAATTTTTTTAAGAATGTATTTTTTTATGAATGTAATATTTTTTAATGAATGTAATTTTTTTAATGCACTAATCTCATTGCGATTAATTTAAATAATAAACTAATTTAAATTTATTAATTTAAATTTAGAAGATGTATATTTAAAAATGTAAAAATGAAGGTTTGAAGCCCAGTTTGAAGCTCCGGGCTTCAAACCCATTTTCAGTGAAATTTTGTTGTAAGTTAAAGCTGATGTGGCAGAGAGAGAAAGTTTGAAGCCCTGGTTTGAAGCCCCGAGGCTTCATGACCATTTCCAGTGCTCTCAGGTCTCATATAAAAATATACAAAAAAAGAAATTACAAAATAAAAGGTCTCATTAGGCTACTGAGGCAAATGGTGGCGTGCCCATATCAACAAGCTACTTTAATATAACATCATTGCAAATCTTTGAATTTATAAGATTCGAACAGTGCATGCAGTAGTGCATTACTAGCCTACTAACTAGGTCTACAAAGCTGGTCTACCCCTTTTACCCTTTGGGTGATATACTTACCAATTCAATGCTTTTACCTTCCGACGATCATAACTCATACTCCTTCGCCCTGAGTATTTGTCTATTTTTTAGTTTTTTGGTCAAAATTGGTAAATTTTGACTTCAATTTCAAAATATTATTTTATTTAATTAAAATACAATATATATTTTATTTAATTATAGGTCAAAGATTGAAAACAATTGACTAAAAAAGTTAAAACTTGATGAATACTCAAGGACGGAAGTAGTACTATACTACTATAAGGATGTTTTAATTTAATTTACAATAAAAAAGACAGAGAGAAATGTTCCATTTTGAGCTTCCATACCTAGCTAGTACTCCCTATACTAGCCCCTACGATACTCATATCATCTTCACAAAAAACAAATGTAAAAAAAAAAAGAAAATGCATGCTTGATATTTCCCCTTGGGAACACACATGATAGCATACTTACATAGTCTAGAGAGGAGGAAGGCAGCAGGATAACATGATATGGATGCACCATACTCTCCTGGAGAGGTAAGGAGGTCTAGCCAAAGACTAAAGAGAAGGACAGCTACTTCGTAGACAACCCGAACAAGTTTTAAAATATTGATCTCTTTACTTTTTGTGTTTCATAATGCTTTTTTTGGCTTTTATGCAGTGGCCGAGCCGGGATGCAATTATGGGAAGGGGACCTACTAGAAGACAATGTTCGAGGCTAGCACCCCTAATTTTCTATCTTGGAAAGCACATCATAAAATGTTTCTAAAATACAAATAAAAATTTCCTTTCAAACAAATATTCAAAAGTTTAAAATTAAAGTGCCAAAAAGTATTCCATACAAATAACAAATTTTTTCATAGCTATAATAAAATGACAATGTCATTAGCCAACTCGATATTCTTTTTCATTGTGGTGACCTCCAAGTTTCTTCTTTTGTATATGAGGTAGTCATTCTGGTGGTCCCAAAGTGGTGAGATACAAAGTCTAGATGGGGGGTGAATAGACTTTGTTACAAATTTAAAAACTTTTTCGTTTCTTTTGAAAACGTGAAAATGAGTGTTAATCTAGAGTCCTTGTGAACTTTAGATTGTGTGCGGAAGTTGGTGGGTTATTAGAGCAGTAATCAATATGGATGAGGCAAGCGGTTGAAGTTTATCCCTTTGGTGTAACCATATTAAGATATGTGCATGAGGCAAACTTTTCATTTGAATGTGTACATTGTATAAACATGCACAAAGTTATTACATTTAAATGACAGTATTTTAAATTGAATGTCCAAACTACAACAACTTTATTATTTAAATGAAACTAATATAGCAAACTTTAAAATTACATCTAGTTACTTCGCCAAATATAAATCCTATTTTATGTCCTTCTCAAAATGTTTAAATTTTGTTTTAAAGATTCCAGACTTAATGTCGGGTATGTCTTTAACTTCACATTTCCTTATTGTCATATATGTTGTAATCTCGATCTGGCCATTGGGGATTACATGTTATAGTAATGAATAAATCTAGATAACCAAATCTTCAACAAATGGTCATTACATCTTGTTAGGTGTTAAACATATATCTCATTCCCCTAGTGAACGTAGATGATAGGATACTTCATTGCCCAATGGATACCGATTCAGTATCATCTGTGATCACAGCTTCATGTAAGCCACTCGTAATTTCTCCCTAACTTGATCCTAGTTTAACTGCACGTACTGGATTCTTTGTGCTTTAACTATCATGTTTGCATCAACCAAAAATTGTAAAAACAATCTTTGTGCAAACAACACAATATTTCCAACATTTTCTCTTTTTTATATTTAAAATGCAACAAATTCTCTCACTGACATAGTGACTTTTTTAGCGCTTTACATTTTTTCGCACAAAAAATGATTCCCTTATAGGGATATATTCTTTATAATCGTCCTCCCCAAAAGGAAACAACAAAGAGTATTAACGAGGTAGGAAAGCAGTGTGTGTCTCATGGACTTTTAGTAAGAATTCATCTCTTTTAACAATGATTAAGTCTTCATCATTTTACAAATTATTAATTGAAAATAGTAATTTTGAGGCACGCATCTATAAATTTTTACAAAGTTAGTAATGAAAAATAATAATATAAAAATAATAATATAAAAATAAAAAAATATTAATTTTAAAATAGAACGTACTTGTTATTTGACTTAGAATTTTTTTAATATATACAAAATAAAATCAATGCTCTATTAAATAAATATGCTCATAAAAATTTATTTCCTTTTATATATTTATTTTTATTTTTAAAAATTGGAAAATCTCTCTAATTAGTACTGATTCAAAGTAAAAACAAATATTCACATATAATTTCTTTTAGTCTTACCAATCTATACATTCTTAGAATAAATGTATTTGTTTGAATTATTATTTTTGAATATGAGTACTTTTTTTCAATTTCAAAATATATTACTTAATTTAAATATTTTCCAACAATGAATTAAGATATAAAAGTTTTGTTAACTGATTCCTTAAATATTTCTTGATGACATGGCGTGCTGATATGTCAAAAAATTGTCTGGTTGATACATTTTTGTTGATGACATGGGGCCAAATAGCTCCGGTGCCCCCTGTAGTTTGGAAAATTGGCACCAATACCCCCTCTATTTTCAAAACTTACTTCTAAAGTCCCCGTGGTTTCAAAATGCTGCACCTGTGCGCCCTCTGATCATTTTCCGGCGAAGAGGGGCATTTGCGCATAATTTTTAAACCATAAGGGGCATTCATGCTCATTTTTTATTTTTCATTTATTATTTGTGTTTTTCTTTTTTTAAATATTTTCTATACCTTTTTTCTTTTCCTAGATTTTTTTCTAATTTATTTTCAATTTTTTATGATGTTTTAAAATTTTCAAATTTTTGTGTTTGAAAAAAAAATAAAAATAAAAAAATTAACATACATTGCATCTATTTGAAATTAAACATTTTCACTTTTTGTTACTTACTTATTTGGAAAGTTCAAAAAGAAAAACCTATAATAAAAAAATAAAAATATGGAAAAATAAAATGAAAAATAAAAATACATAAAAAAAAGTCTGATCCAAAAAAATGGACAAGCCTAAAAAAGTCCTTAGAATTGAGATGTTCGAAAAAGATTCATTTTTATTTTTATATTATTTTAATTCTTATTTTATTCTTCATTTTTATAAATTCTCAAAAAAAAGTTTACTTTTTTCAAAAAAAAACAAAAACTGTTGATTTGAGAAGTACATATACATTATATGTTAATTTTTTCAAACAAAAATAACTTTAAATTTTATGAACATTATAAAAATAATTTTAAAAAAAACCTTTATTAATAAAAGAAACAAATAAAGGAAAAAATGAAAAAAAAAACAAAAAAATAAGCGAGAAATAAATATCAGCACCGATACCCCGTGTGGTTTAGTAAATATGCAGTAATGCCCCCCATCTTTGCCGGAAAAATGGCCGGAAAATGATCAGAGGGGGCACGGGTGCAGCATTTTGAAACCACAAGGACTTTAGAAATAAGTTTTGAAAACAGAGAGGGTTTTGGTGCCTATTTTGCAAACCACGGGGGGTACTGGCGCTATTTAGCTGATGACATGGCTCATGAGTTGTTTAAATTTTTCCAAAAAAATTCATTAAATATCCAACCATCCATAGGACATGGTACTTTAGATCCGAAATAATTAGGAAATCTCAATTGGTACTATTTCGTTGATGACATGGCTCACGTGTTGTTTAAAATTCTGTCCAATCAGCATGCCAAATGTCATCATTCTAGAAGCTGAACTCTCAAATTTTATATATAAAGGATTTAACCAATTTTACACTCTTTAACTATTTCACTTTTTTCTTTTACTCTTTTCTGAGAATGATAACAACTTATTTTGAACTCATAACTCCAAATTTAGAATTCAAATCTTTTTCCCTAAAATTTATTATTTTTGATAAAATATTATATTTGCACAACTCTACGCAAAAATATTTTTAATACCTGTCTCAGATTCCGTAAATCATAAAATATACAAAAACAATTATAATAATAAACAAATACACTCTTGACCTATACATAAATTATATATTTTTTCATTATACAGTTACATTATATTAGTTTAATTATATTTATATAAATATTAATACCTATTAAATAAAATGTTTTCTTCACCTATTAATAAAGTTTATTTTTATTTTGAAACCTAATATGTCACGTAATTTAAGATAAATAAAATGCAAATTAAAAGTTTTGGTACGAAATCTTTGAATAAGTTTAATTATAGAAAAGAAACATTCACTACAAGAAAAACGCTAAATTGCGACGGATATTTGCGACGGGTCCGCTTCCGTTGTACAAGGCGACGGAATTTGCGACGGAGGTTGACACCGTAGAATTTGGCGACAGAGTTTGCGACGGATTGATTAATCCTCGCAAATTTCTAGGCGGGAGTCTCAGAGGCGGATGGAGTTGATTGGCAGTGCCCCCAGTCAACTTTTAAAAAATTTTAATTAGTACCCCAATTTTTTTTAAAAGCCTATTCTTGCCCCCAGTAGTTTACTCAAAGAAACCATACGGAGTATTTTTCAATCCAGCAGCTTCCGTCTTTTTCCTCTTCCGCATAAACCATAGTCTCGCCGGCCGCCATTTCACCATTCATCGCTCACCGGCTTTCCTGTTCGTCTTGAATTTTGATCGCATAATCACAATCCGGCCACAGACCACAAATTGAGAGTTGAGTAAGAGGCTTTCTCTCTCTCTTTTTCAATTTTTGATTAGGACTTTTAGATCCAAGTATTCAATTTGTCAAATTTCAAGAATCAATTGTTCTAAAAAGTAAAAAGTACTGAGTAGTGTGTACTCCATGGTTTTTTGCAGGTTTTTAACGTATTTTTAATATTATTTCTATTTTTTATCATATATAATTGTATAAATGTATAATGCTTGTATTTTTTGCAGATTCTTCTTCACAAATCAGTAATCAGACATCACTCATCATCAATTCTGCATAATATGATTAAGCTTAAGGAAGATTTGATGAATGGTGTAGTTGAAACTGGGAGAGGACTAAACCAAGAACTTAGTCTAAAGAGGCCAGGAGATACACGGTGGGGGTCTCATTACAAGTCACTTCTGAATTTGTTCAAATTATATGAATCTATCATTGAAGTGCTTCAATATGTCAGAGATGAGGGCATGGATACAATAAAAAGATCTCAAGCCCGTGGTGTTTTGAGATATTTCCAATCATTTGAATTTGCGTTTCTCCTTCATTTGATGATGGAGATATTGGGAATAACAAATGAGTTGTCAAATGCTTTGCAAAGGAAGGATCAAGATATTATGAATGCTGTATCACTTGTCAAAGTTGCCAAGCGAAGATTAGAGAAACTGAGAGTTAGCGGGTGGGAATCTCTTCTTGAAAAAATAACTTCTTTTTGTGAAAAATATGGAATTCAGTTCATGGTCATGGAAGAACAATATGTAAATCCTGATCATCCTCGGCGCAAGAGTGGTGTAACCAATTTGTATCATTTTCGTGTTCTTTTATTTTCCGTGATTGTGGATGAACAACTTGCAGAACTCAATCATCGGTTTGACGAAGTGAATACTGAATTGCTCCTTTGTGTTGCTTGCTTGAGTCCAAATGATTCATTCTGCTATTTTAATGCCTCAAAATTGGTAAGGTTGGCTCAATTTTATCCTGATGATTTTTCAAACATGATGGAACTTGAAAATCAACTTGAAACTTATATTGATGATGTAAGCTCAGATGAGAGGTTCTCTAGTATCAATGGTCTTGCTGAACTGTCCAAAATGTTGGTGGATACAAAGAAGAATCTTTCTTTTCCGTTGGTGTTCCGTCTTTTGAAGTTAACACTAATCTTGCCCGTGGCAACTGCAAGTGTTGAACGAAGCTTTTCAGCAATGAGCATTGTGAAGACATATTTGCGGAATCGAATGGGTGATAAGTTTTTGAATGATTGTCTTGTATCCTTTATAGAAAAGGATATTCTTGATATCATTAGCAATGAGATTGTAATTACTCATTTTCAAAGTATGAAAGCTCGTAGGGGACAATTGTGAACTTGTAATTATATTTTCTTTTAGTTTGTAATAAAAATTACTCGTATCTTTTTGCTATACCCTTTGACGCTTTGATGTTTCCTTAATGCTAACATAATGAGTTATTAACTTGCAAAGAGTTTATTCTAATCGTTTCAGGTGTGAGGTGTTCATTCAAATGTTGACATTGTATATCAGTATATCACCTTATTCTTCAAGGTAACTTTCATCTCTTCTTTATAATTTGGTTAAATTGGAATTTTTTTTAGTTCGCCC